CACCTTCCAGCTCCGTCCACACTGTCCCCTGAGACACTCACACTGCACCTTCCAGCTCCGTCCACACGGTCCCCTGACACACTCACACTGCACCTTCCAGCTCCGTCCACACCATCCCCTGAGCACGGTCACATCCGCACATGGATTCCAGATGGGATCCTTCCTGATGCCCACTCTGGGTCTCCTGCCTGGCCGCACCTCTCCTCGCCTCCCTGCACCCCCCACCCTAGCTGGAGGTGGTCATGCGCTCTGCTCTGCTCCTTCAGGGCTGTGCAGGAGGGCTGCACGCTGTCCCAGGTGAGAGGGAGTGCTCCCACTTCTCGCCAGTCCGTGCCGCACTCTGACTGCGTGTGCCGGCCCTTCGGCCTCCCTGAGAAGCTGGCAGGCCACCTGGCCTGCTGTGGCCTCGACCTTGAGCTTTTGGGCAGCTCCCACTGCGTGCGAAGGCTGAGCACCTGACGTCCTGCTGAGGCTTGAATTCTGCATCAATTTGCTTCTCACGAAAAGAGGCGCCCACTCCCAGGCTTCAGCGGTGGCCAGTGTCTCTGGGCCCCCTGGAGCCCCAGGCCCTTCTGTCTGGTACCAAGGGTGGCACTGCCCACGGTGCTTGTAACAAAAACAGCAGCACCATGCCATGGCCCACTGTGCATTTGTGAGGCCGTGTCTCGAGCGTGTGCGGGGAATCTCCCATCCGTGTGGGTGTGTTGACTACCCCTGTGGACTCCGGGACACAGCCGGCTGCCCCCGAGGCCGCCTCCTCTGGAGACTGATCCATGGGGAGTGCGCTTTCCATGCTCATTTCTTTCCCTTTTTTAGCCAGAGTCCGGCTCTGTCACCCAGGCTGGAGTGCAGTGGCACAATCTCAGCTTACTGTGACTTCCACCTCCTGGGTTCAAGCAGTTTTCCTGCCTCAGCCTCCTGAGTAGCTGGGACTACAAGAGCACAGCACCACACATGGCTGATTTTTCTATTTTTAGTAGACATGGGGTCTCACTATGTTGGCCAGGCTGGTCTCCAACCCCTGACCTTGGGTGATCCGCCCACCTCAGCCTCCCAAAGCGCTGGGATTATGGGGGTGATCCAGCCTGCTCGGCCTCCCAAAGCGCTGGGATTATGGGGGTGATCCGCCCACCTCGGCCTCCCAAAGCGCTGGGATTATGGGGGTGACCCGGCCTCCTCGGCCTCCCAAAGCGCTGGGATTATGGGGGTGA